TTTTTTTTTTGCAATAGGGACCGTGCACTTGCCAGAGAGAGACAGAGACAGAGAGAGGGGAAGTGAGAGATCACCCCGCAGAGGCAATGACCATGCCACAAACCCTTTCCTCCATTCTCGAGATTCTGGGCACGCATGCGTATGTGCCTGCAGTGATTTTCAAGCTGCCAGGTCTGGGCCTCAAACCGCGGCCAGCCATCACAGGTTGTATTTTTTAGAAATATGTCCAATCCATTTGCCTGTTGTACCCTTACCTTGTTTTGTTGTTGTTGTTGTTGTTGTTTGTTTTTAAATCGCCACAGGGCACATGTACTCTCTAAAGAGAAAGGGAGAGTACCCCCAGGGGTTGTGGTCACACTGCAGCCCCCTCTCTGCTTTTTGTCCTACTAGGATTTTAGGCCCACGTGCACAAATTCTTGGTGTGTTTTTTAAGTAGCCAGAGCCAGGGATTGAAGTACAATTGGTCTTGCGGGATTTGGCTCTTTTAACCACTAGGCTCCTGGACTGGCCCTATACCCTTACCTTTTAACTTAAAACTAAACCTAATTCAAATGTCATGAAATATTTTTGAAAAATTTTTTTAGATACACAAATATTTATCATTCTATGTTGGACTCCAGAGTTAGAAGACATGAATATTTTCAATTTTTTTGTTACTAAATATTTTATTAAGTTTATATCCCGTGGGTATTTACAGTCAATGCTATGGGAAAAGAGTTAATATAAAACATTACAATAGTATTACTGACAATAGTTTATCAGTATTATCTTAATTCTCTTTGATCATTTCTCTCATTCTTCAGATTCTGTTTTTCTCAAATTATCAAACTTCTTTAAACATAGTGAATCTGTCATATTAAATTTCTTTCTGATATTTCATGTCTGGCTGTTTCGCCCTCCCCCCTGGGAGGATGACCATGTTGCAATCCCTTCTCCTCCATTCTCCTCTCGGGATTTTGGACACACATGCACATGTGCCTGGCATGAGTTTTAAGATGCCACATCTGGGCTTGAACTGCAGGTGACTACTTGGGAGTCCAGTGACATAACCATTATGCCATCTACTGGTCCCAATTCCAAAATTTTTAAGAACACTTTTGAGTTTGAGATAAGGGAATTCTGGAATACTATAAGCCTTGTACCATCTTAATACAATTCCAAAGATTCAGATTAAATTATTTATGTGAAGCTCACCTGGAATACTTGTACTTACCATATTGCTAGAGGTTCACTCCCTTTTGTATATATCTTTTTTTATGTTCCAAGTAATGTATGGAGAGAATGTCACCACTTGGCAGTCCTTTGATTCTAGTATATGACCTTATAGTTTTGCAAGGGCACTGATTGTTCTCTTATTAACCCCTTCTAAAATCAACAGGTTTCTCTAGGCCTAAATGCTCAACTTGGATTTCTGGGTTTTCTTGGATTTGACCTATTTAGTGGAAATCATCTTTTTTGCATTTTCTGTGCTTCCAAATAACACTTAAAATTAATCTTTATATTTTTATAGATTTTTCCTTTGATGTTCTTTTTTTTTTTTTTTTTCCCCTTTTGATTGCCAGAGGGCTGGTCTACTCTCTTTGATTTTTATAACAATGATTTGACTTTTCTTATAAAAACTATAAAAGTATGACTATTTTATGGTAGTGATAAAAACTGTAATTGAAATTGTGCAAAATACTTGTTCCATGTTTTCCAGTTCTCTCTTAACTGTCTTATTTTCTTATGTTTTAGCCCTAGTGTGAGCAATTGACTTAATAAAAATGTCCGTTTTTCTCTTGTTATCTGATAACTTCTTAATGACAACTAACAGCTTTTGTGAGAGCTGCACCATTAGCACTAATGGATAGTAAGGACAACTGATATGGCATGGGAAAGGTTAAAGATGACTAGTGACCCTTTGGCAAATCTGCTTACCACAGAACTGAATAAGTACCGTGCTGATTTGAGTTATAGGTCATACCAGATTTCTCACACGTTCGTTCAGCTGTCTTACAACCAGAGTTCAGTTCTGTACAGTCCTCTTGTAATGATTAATTGGAGATTTAATGAACTTTTTAGTTTAGATGCGTCAAATTGTGAGGACATTCAATTTGTTGTCTCCATTAGATAAACTTTCATTTCTCTATTCTTAAGTTTTGCTTCGCCTTAATAATTTTTCATATATACTTGAGGAAATTCTTAGGTATGTGCACACCCTGTCTGCTAAAATCAAATGAATAGGTAAGTTACTGTGAGATCATTTAAATTTCTAAATATGGTATATAAGAACTGGCAACTGGCAACTTTATAGATTATTTCTGGACACTAGTGCTTACAGATGTACTTGAGTCTTAAACGACAACAAATTCATCCTGAAAGTAAAAGTCTTTGATAAAACACAGAAAATTTCCCTCACTCTCTCCTCACCTTCTTCTTGGCATAATTAGTAATTTGTAACTTTCTATCCAAATTTCAGATTTGATTATTGTTAAATTTTGGGTGTAGATTTTGTAAATAAGATGACTCTATTGTTAGTCATAGTTTTTTTTTTTTTCCTTTCTTTCTCTTTTCAAAGAGATACCAAAAACTTTTCATGTAATATGAGCCTTTGACTATAACATATATGTTGTATTCCCTCTCTTTGTGGATCATTTCCCTCCTTCCCTTACGTTAACTTTTACCATTGTCTTGTGGTTTACTTTGGTACATTACTTTCCACTTTTTCATGTGCTCCAGTTCTTTTAGTTTTATTCTATTCATTGGTATAAGAGCATGAAATAATAGGCTCAGGGGCAAATGCAGAGGATATACATCCAAAGACGTTAGAACTAAAAGGCATTCCTTTGATAAAGGGATAGCTGTGTTTAAGTGGAAGCATCTCCATTAGCATTAATGGAGTAAGTACATCAGCTGAGGCATCTCAGAGGTTAATCGGGCTTCCTGGCCAGCTCTTGACATCAATACACTGTGGCGCCTGATTCTCTTGGTCCTTCAGAGGCTTACTTGACAACACTCTCACAGACTTTGTGTAAGTCATTTCTAGTGAATTATTGAAACAAACGTTTGGCTGCTAATTGAGGAACGCTAATGTGTTTTATAATCACTGCAGTTTGAGTTTTTAGCACTAAACAAAACAGTTACAATTGATTTGTGGCTTTTTCTGTGTTTCATTCTGCTCTAAGTTATGTCTTTTTGCTTAAAATTCAGCAGATGGCTTTGCTGGTCATTTTATTTAAGTATTTATTAGGATACATTATTATAGTTTCTAGTCCCTCCACCCCCAATCAGGCAGCTCTGTTTTATATTCATGAACTGTGAGATCATAAGTCATAACAGGAATAAATTATATGGCAGTATAGGGTAATGGTTAAAAATCAGACTCTGGGGACAAACAGGTTTAGTTTTGGTTTTTACTTTGCTCTGTCATTCGGTAGATGTTTAAGCATCTTTTTGATCTTTCTTAGCTTCAGTTTTCTCTTCTTTAAAATTCAGGTATTTGAGGAAGTCTAGAGATCATTTCTGTTAAGAGCTCTGACCAGTCTGCCATCCATAGTAAAAATATCACAGAATATAACTGCAGTAAAAGAATGTATATATTACTAGTGTTATTTATTTGGTGTTAATGGAAAATTATTTAGAAAATATTTTTTTCCACATTGGAATTTGATTGTTGCTTGAGTCATATTTTATCCTTGATGAAGAACCTGATTTGTATACAATTTAAAAGTTAAAATTTGAAATACCATGATGTGTAATAATTTATATTTAAATATTTAGCTATAGCATATGCCAGAATATATGCAGGTGCATTAAAAAGTTTGTGGAAAAACTGAATTAAAGTATGAGTTTATTTTGGGTCAAAATTTTGGAAATTCATGCATAGGTTTTTCATAGTGTGCATTTTCATGAAATTTTAGAACATCCTCTTATAGAGCGTATTTTTCCCACCCATCATTATTTTAGGAAAGAAGATTAAGTTGAATTTTTTTAGCAAAACTTTTTGTCACATGAGAATAGGAAAATAAAGTGTGTATATTATTTAATACTTACATAATTTTTAGTATGTCTATGTAATATGACTGTTTTGGCTTTAATGATGAGACTCTTATTCAGTGATTTATGACTCACAATTTTCTGTTTTAGCTTTTTTGTTACTTTAAAAAATATTTTTATTAAGGCATGTGAGGATAATTATATGAAATTTACACATAAGGAAATGTACTTTTACATGAGTTAGTTTTACTTATTTGCTTTGAATGAAATGGAACTAAAATGTAATTATAAAACATCTTAAGTTATCTTTAACTGAAATGGTATATTAGATGCAATACATTGTACTGTTTTCTAGAGCCCTCTTAGCTAATTTTATATGATACTTCATTAATTTATTAATTAGTATCTTGGATAGAGACTATATTTCTCCAATTTTGGTGTACTGAATTTTATGACAGCATATTATAGATTTACTTCAAAAGCATGGTCTTCCCCACATATGTAATCTACCAACATTTCAGTGTTGTTTGTGCTAGAAAATAGATATGAAAATGGTTTTAATAATATTTTTAAAAAGTGAACATTACATAATTCCTACTCCTTAGTATGTCATGTATTTTTTTCAAGTGTATTTATTTCTTCCATCAGTGAGAATAGGGCAGGCATCGCTAACAGGATTCCCAAGCCACAGTCCACCCCAGCCTTAGCTAGTCCCAGATTACAGGCATCAGAGAAGTCTCCATTTGTGAACCTGGGACCTTCCCGTGTGGGTCAGACTCACAGAGTATTGTACTACCACTGCACCACCTCCTGGCCCCATTTTGTCATGTATTTTAAGATGTATTCATGAAAGGGAGAGCACAAGAGAATTTTTAAAAAATAAATATGTAATTGTACCTTTATGTGAGATAGTACTCTTTAATTGTTAAGTTATATCTTTATTCCCAACATGTTCTGAGTACTTTATTGATGCCATTTCATCAAACTAATACTGATATTCTAACTAAAATTCAAGATCGTGTTAAAAATCAGGTTGAGGGACCAGCAGTTAGTGTAATGACTGTCGCTGGACTCCCACGTAGTCGACCGCGGTTCACGTCCCGGACTCGGTGGCTTAAACTCACGCCGGGTGCGTGTGCATTCATGCCCAAGATCCCAAGAGGAGAATGGAGGAGAAGGGATTGTGGCATGGCTATCTCCCCTGTGGGGTGATTTCTCGCTTTCTATCTCTCTGTCTGTCTCTGTCTGTCTGGCTGGTGAGTGCACGTGCCCTGTAGCAAAAAAACTTCTTCTTCAAAAAAAATCAGGTTGAATTTCTATGTTTACTGGCATACAAAGATTATAAGAGAATAAAGAATTTAATGTAATGAATAGTGGCATGAATAGGATGCATATTTTTATTTAGAACCAAAGTACTGATGGAATGTCATACATTTTACTTTTCACTGTACAGACATTGAAAAGTGGTCTGACAATGGTTGGGAAAGTGGTAACTCAGCTGACAGGCACGCTGCCCTCAGGTGTGACAGAAGATGACATTGCGATTCATAGTAATTCACGACGAAGTCCTTTGGTCCCAGGCATCATCACAGTTATCGACACCGAAACAGTTGGAGAGGGCCAGGTAAGAATTTTCAGTGCATGCCTTGTGTGTTACCTGCAGGATTGGGAGGACTTCAAATCACGATCAATCAGAATCTTATTCAACATGAAAAATTGTATAATTTCTGTTATTATTTGGGAACCATCATCTTCTACTTATGACATAGTACTATTACAGCATGTGCACGTCCCATGCATTTTAAAATACTTATATTTTTGGGATAACAGTTGGCATGGTAGTTGCAGCAGCCAAATCCCACATGGCCAACTGTGCAGTTCTGGTCTGGGATCAAGTGGCTTAAGAAATGTGCTGGATGCTTATATGAGCCTGTCCAGAATCATCGAAAGAGAAATGGAGAGGGCGGATTACAGTGTGGCCTTCCCTCATGGGGCTGATTTCTTCCTTTCCTGCTCGCTCTCTCTCTCCAGCAAGCACATGTGCCCTCTAGCAAATTAAAAAAAAAAAAAAAAAGAGTTATATTTTTCAAAGCAATAAGATTCTCACACTATAATACTGTCTTTCTTTTATTAACATGAACCTGGTTTTTGTCAATAAGTCATTTTTGTCTCTGATAAATAGTTTAGATGGAATACAAAGCAGTTTTTAGATTATGTTGGATTGAATTAAAAAGACTGCAGTGGTTAATACAGATTTATCACTTTTAGCCCTTTCTACTGTTGTTTAATCTTAGCTGTAATATTTTTCCTTATACATCTCAGGAGCTAAAGCTAAGATTATATTGACTTTTGCTGGTTAAAGCTACTGATAACCTATTTAATAAAGATATTTTAATGTTTAAAGTGGTAGTGTACAAAATCAGATTCACCGTCTTTCCGATGCTGTATTGATTAGTTTGATTTTATGGTGATGGGATCATTGTGTGGTAACTGCATTAAGCAAAAAAAGATTTGATTGACTTTGTGTCCATTTTTATCTGTGTTTCTTTCATGTTTTATTTAAAAATCTTTCTTGGCTAGGATTAGTTGAGTGGTATGATTTGGGTTTTACACATTTATATAATTGAAGTTGTAGTGTGGCAAAATATCTAATAGATACAAAGTGCTTCAGGATGATGACATGAACTTGAGCTAGTTTTTGCCCAGAAACAGCTGTTACTCATAATAATTTAGTGGTTTCTGGGATATTTTGTTCATATGATAAGGGTTTATGCACCTTGTATCAGTTGTTGTGCTTTGATTTTTTTAATATATTCAGAGCATTAATATATAACCCTAAGTAAGGGTTCACCATTTATATTTGTGACTTCCATAAAGAGAAAATTCAGACTCGTATGTAGTAGTGTAAGGCTTCACTGTGGGCCATAATTAATATTCCTTCTTACTAGGTAGCTTCTGTTTTTATTATTGCCATCAAATTGAGTATCAATTCTAATTATATTGAAAAGAGATATATATTAATACAGAGTTACGATATGAGAATCTTCAAAAAGTTGATGGAGAAGGGACCAGCAGTTGGCATAATGGCTGTCGCAGGACTCCCATGTAGTTGACTGCACTTTGAGTCCCAGACCCAGTGGCTTAACCTCACACAGGTGCGTTTGCATGCGTGTGTGCCCAAGATCCCAAGAGGAGAAAGGAGAAGGGATTGCGATGTGGACATCTCCCCAGCGGATGATTTCTCGCTTTCTGTCTCTCTGTCTCTGTCTTTCCGGTGGGCTCACGTGCCCTATAGCAAAAAACTCTCAAAAAAATCCAAAAAGTTGATATATTATGAAGAACACTGCATGAATTACAATTTTTTTTTTTTTTGGGAGAGGTTTTTTTTTTTTTTTGTGTGTGTGTGTGTGTGTGTGTTTTTGGGTTTTTTTTTTTTTTTTTTGTCTCAGCCTCTCCAAGTCCCTGGGATTACAGGGGCACCCCACTGTCTTTAGGTTGAAGTGGGAATCAAATCCCGGCTTTTCATGTGGTCCCAACCTGCAGAGCACAGCATCTTAGCAATAGCAGTGTACACCACCACAACCAGACCTAAGTTTGCTGTTATTTGGACTTTCTTTGTGTCCTCTCCCCTTTACTCTGGAATCCAGACGTAGCCATTACACTAACTGCTGGTCCCATGAATTACAATATTTTTTGTACCAAAGTGAAGTGGCATGCTAATTTTTATTTTCAGTGAACTTTTTGAAGTCCCTGTGTATATGAAAGGAAGTCTTATAAGGTCAAGATCAAAACAGAAAAACAGGCAAAAGACAACTATTTCATCAAAAAGATAAGATATATACAACTGGTATAAAATCTATACCCATGATCACAAAACTGCAGATTAAAACCACTGTTAGAGGAATCAGCAAATGGAGTAATGGTTATGTCACTGGAGTCCCACCTAGTCACCTGCAGTTCAAGGCCTGGACCCGGTGGCCTAAAACTTATGCTGGATGTGTATGCATGTGTGTCCAAAATCCTGAAAGGAGAATGGAGAAGAGATTGTGGAGTGGCCATCCCCTCTGGGGTTGATTTCTCACTTTCTGTCTCTCTGTCTCTGGCGAGTGCACGCTATATAGCAAAAAATCTCTCTCTCAAAAACAAAACAAAACAAAAACAAAAACACTTCTAGGGACTCTTTTTTTCCTTTTAATTGCCAAAGAATACCTGCATTTTCCAGAGAGAGGGGAGGAAAAGGGAGACAGTTTAAGTAAGTACCTATTATCGGAGTATGGTCATGCCACAATCCCTTCTCCTCTATTTCTCCATCCTGTTGACATTTTGGCACATGCATACATATGTGCCCTGAATGTTTTTCAAGTCACCAAGACCAGGTGACTATTTTTTTTACCTACCAGAATCTGATAAACTTAGAAGATTGTAGTATATTCTGTACTTTAAACTTTTAAATAAAAGATATGCACATTAAAAGAAATTGGCAGAGGGACTGTGTTTGCTCAAGAGAGAGATACGCTGCAATTCCCTCTCCTCCATTTTTCTCCTTTTGGAGAAAACATACACATGTGGTTGGTGTGTTTTTTAAGCCACTGGGTCCCGGACTTGAACTATGCAGTTGACCATGTGAGACCCGCTGCCCCAACCAGTAGATAGATCACAGACTGGCTGTGAATTTTAATTTTGAAAGAAATTACATGCTTAGTAAGATACACGTGTCCACATACTTTTCACCCTGCTTCCTCCCACTTCCCCTAAATGGTGACAGCTTATATAGCTGTAGTTTATTATGATGTAATAGCCAGAAGATTGATGCACAGAATACTATTAGTAGGCTGTTGACCTTATTCTGTTTTCATCATTCATTGAACACACATTCATCTGCATGTGCATTTAGGTGTGTATAGTTCTATGAAGTTTTATTCTGTGTGCAGATTCATGTAATCACCATTACAGTTAAGATGCAGAACTTGGGGCTGAGTGGTGGAACAGCTGAACCCACATGAGAGAGGTCCTGGGTTCACATCTTGGTACCTCCCTGTACTTACTGGGTGTACACTTGTGCCTGTGGTCTAGACTAATGGGAATGGGAGTGTCTTGGTATTCACAAGCTTTTGGTGGTGTCTTTCTCTCTTGTTCTCTCCTGTCCCCCATGGAAGATATAAATAAATAATAAAGAAGCATTAAAAAAGATATAATTCTGTTCATCAACATTTACCTCTTTGAATGTATGCTCATCACTCACCATACCTCCATCTCTCTCTCTTAACAATCACTACCCTGTTCTCCATCTCTGTATTTATGAGAATGTTTTATAAATGTAATTACATAGTATATGACATTGTAAAATAGATGTTTTTACAAAGGATATTATCCTTAAAGTTCATTTACTTTATTGCACCTAGTTCACACCTTCTAATTACTCTGTTGTATTCCATTTTTTGGATGGATTTGTTCAACCCTTCTCTTACTGAAGGTTATTTGCATTGGCCCTAACAATTTTTAAAATTTTTTTGGAGAGTTTATTTTTTTGCTATAGGGTGTGTGCGCTCCCCAGAAAGACAAAGAGAGACAGAGAGACAGAAAGTGAGAAATCACCCCCCGGGGGGACGGCCACGCTGCAGTCCCTTCTCCTCCTTTTTCCTCTCGGGATCTTGGGCACACACGCACATATGCCCGGTGTGAGTTTAAGCCACCGGGTCCGGGACTTGAACCGTGGTCGACTACATGGGAGTCCAGTGACATAGCCATTACGCTAACTGCCGGTCCCCCTAACAGTTTTTACCATGAATAAAAAAGTTGCTATGAACATTTGTTTAAAGGTTTTTATGTGGATGCATGTTTTCACTTCTCTGTTAAATGCACAAGAGTATGATTGATTAGTCACATTTAACAAGGAGCTACCTAAATGTTTTCCAGAATGATAGGTATACTGTTTTACATTCCCAGCACTAAAGCATGTTAGACAGATTTCTCAGCTCAATCTAAGGAAGATGAGGTAGTAAAATTTCTTTAAAATACTGAAAAACTGTCAACCTCAAATTCTCTATTTAATGAAAATATTTTTGTAAATGAAGGGGAAATAAAGATGTTCTTTGAAAAAAGAATAGTAAGCTAATTTATAACAAGCTATTAAAGAATAGCTAAAGGAAGTTCTACCATAAATTGATAACAATAGAAGACTTGCAAGCCACCTTGTGATCTATTGGTTAAGAGAGCTGGATTCCACATCATCCTGGCCTTATGACTTGATAAACATGTCAAATATATGAACATATGTGCCCACAATCCTGAAAGAATGGAGAGGTGGCGGAGAAGTGTATTTTTGAAAGAAAATATAATAGCACTGCTAGGTTAGTACCACTTCCTAGGTTACTTAAAATAAATTTTAGGAACCAGCAGATGACTTAGTGGTTAAGTCATTAGACTCCCACGTGTTTGACTGCAATTAAGAGTCCTGAACCCAGTGGCTTGTAACTCAGGCTCGGCACATGTGTGTGTGTGCCCAGGATCCCAAGAGGAGAATGGAGAAGGGACTGCGTTATGGCCATCCCATCTGAGGAGTATTTTTTGCTTTCTGTCTCGCTGTCTTTCCAGCGAGCATACACATCCTATAGCCAAAATATCTCTGAAAAAATATATATATGTTTTATACATCTGCATATTATGACCCAGTATTGGCATTTTCAGTTTTCTTTCTAAAATATTAGGTAAACATTAAATAAAACCTTTTATTAAATAGTCGAACAGTATAGTAACAAAGGAAAAATTATATAGAATGTAAATTGTATTCCAGTATACTTATAAGAAATGAAGGGAAATAAATAATAGATATGTAATTTAAGATTCAGTGCTACCTATTTTAATGTATTTCTGCTTTTATGAGTTTTTGGTAATTTCAGTGAAGTAGTATGTCCACATATATGCCAGGAGTTAAAGAGCACAACTTTTGTACTTTAAAATAAAATTTTTCAGGGCTAGTCGGTGGTGTGGTGGTCTGACTTCCACATGGCTGACTGTGGTTCAAGTCCTGGACTTGGAGGCTTTGCTACTTTCCCTCTCTTTTTCTCTCTATCACTTTCTCTCTCTCTGAAAATATTAAAATAATAATAATAAATAAAGTTAAATAAAATAATTTAAAATTTTTTTCCCCCGCACTAAACATGCACATCACTGCCCAGGATCTGGCAGGCTAGATGACTAGAAGGAAGTAGATTGTGGCATGACCCAGACCTTGTGGAGTGTCCTCATCTCTCTCTCTCTCTCTCTCTTTCTCAGACATATCCATGTGCTTTATAATGAGTAAACAAAAAAGCAATTTTTTTTAAAAGAGATTTTGGCTATAGGGCATGTGCTCTCGCCAGAGAAACAGAGAGGCAGAAAGACAGAAAGCAAGAAATCATCCCCCAGGAAGATTGGCCACGCCACCATCTCGTCTTCCCAATTCTCCTCTCTGGATTTTGAGCACACACGCACATGAAACTTGGTGTGAGTTTAAGCTGTTGGGTCCAGGATTCAAACCACGGCTGACAGTGTAGGAGTCCAGAGACATAAGCATTATGCCATCTGCTGGTCCCAAGAAAAAAATTTTAAATAAAAATTTTATTGGCTCTTTTCCGTATTATAAAGCTGTTTGATTGTCTGCTTTGATTGTTTTGGTGATATTTTTTCCCATGTTCTCATGTTATGTTGCAATAATGGGCATAGTTTGTGTTTTTTTTCAGCACAGTGAGAACTCTATTTCCTGTCCTCAGAGAAAGGCTTATGTGATTACATTTTGTAAAGAATTGAAAGTAGTTTTTTTTTTTCTCTCTGAACCTGTACTTGAAGAAGTAATTGTCTCTATTATCTAAACTCTTAGTCAACCACTGTTTTTAGATTTTATTTGAATGATCTGCAAAGGGAATTATTTTATATCTTTTCATATCTAAAGTAAATTCTCATCCTATGCTATGGCCTCCTCAGTATCCAAAAGGATTGATTCTAGGACTCCCTGAGGATATCAAAATCCGAAGATGTTCAAGTCTTTTATAAAATAATGTAATATTTGTGTGTAACGTACAGACATCTTAACTTATACTTTAAATTTTCTCTAGATTACTTACAATTTCATTTAAAAAAATCTGGAACTATGCATAATTGTTATATACTATTGCTTGGGGAATAATGTCAAGAAGGAAAAATCTGTGCATGTTCAGAATAGGAACAGTTGTCGGACTAACTGCACAGGAGTTTTCAGCAACATCACATTTTTAATCTGTAGTTGGCTGAATCCACAGGAGCTGAACTTATAGATACTGAGGTCTGATTGCATTGGCAAGAATAATCTTCCAATGTAGTGGAAGCATGTTATTCAGTCAGGGTTATTGTGGAATAGCTTTATATAATCTTTTTCTCTGTACTTGGTGAGGAAATATTAACCTCTGTTTTTCTTTGTTTTGTGAAGGTGCTTGTGAGTGAGGATTCTGACAGTGATGGTATTGTGGCCCACTTCCCTGCCCATGAGAAACCAGTGTGCTGCATGGCATTTAATACAAGTGGTAAGTCTTTCCCTCCCCCTACTTATATCATCGGCATTTGAGCTGATGATTTTTGGAAATGGAAAATACAACCTATGATATCAGTTTTTCTTCAAGCATTTGTGTATATCACAAAAAGTTAGTCATACTCAGTAAGTCACTATTGTACTCAGTGTGTGATTACTGAATGAATGAACTCACTGTAAAAAGTTAGAACTCCTCTAAAATATAAGTTTCACTAAGTATTCATTGAATAGTAGCAGTAGGTAAACTTTCTTGTTGAGATACATTAATTTTGTATTAAAATTAATCTTTTGGGACCCGCAGACAGCGTAATGGTTACATTGCTAGAACACCACATGGGTGACTATCGTTTGAGTCCTGGTCCTGGAGGCTTGAAACTCACTCCAGGCTTGTGTGTGTGTGTGTGTGTGCCCAAGATCCCAAGAGGAGAATGGAGGAGAAGGGATTGCAGTGTGGCCATCTCAGGGGAAATTTTTTGCTTTCTATCTCTCCAAAAGAAAAAAAAATAACGTTGTATGATATTTATTATAATTTGTATTATATAAAGAACTTCAGAATTCAGTTCATGAAGATTTTTTTTTTTTCCCCCAGGGAGAGAGGTTTTTGCTATCGGGTGTTTAAACTTGCCAAAGAGATAAAGTGACAGAAAATGAGAAATCACACCACACCCTAGGGGGGATGGTCACAGTACAATCTCTTTTCCTCCTCTTGGTATCTCCTCTTGGTATTTTGTTTGTTTATTTGTTTTGTTTTTAGAGGTTTTTGTTATAGGGTGCTTGCGCTCACCAGACAGACAGAGAGAGACAGAGAGACAGAAAGCGAGAAATCACTCCCAGGGGCAATGGCCACGCCGCAATCCCTTCTCCTCCATTCTCCTCTTGGGATCTTGGGCACGCACGCACACGTGCCCGGTGTGAGTTTTAAGCCACCGGGTCCGGGACACGAACCACGGTCGACTATGTGGGAGTCCAGCGGCATAGCCATTACACTAACTGCTGGTCCCGGTATTTTTTTTTTTCTTTCTTTTTTTGGAGAAATTTTTGCTATAGGGTGTGTGCACTCACCAGAGAGACAGAGAGAAAGCGAGAAATCACCCCATGGGGTGGGGATGGCCATACTGCAATCCCTTCTCCTCCACTCTCCTTTTGGGATCTTGAGCACGCATGCACACGCGCCTGGTGAGTTTAAGCTTCCAGGTCCGGGACTCGAACTGCAGTTGACTACATGGGAGTCCAGTTACATAGCCATTAACGCTAACTGCTGGTTCCTCTCTCGGTATCTTGGGCTCACACACACACACACACATTGCACCTGGCATGAGTTTTTTAAGCTTTTGGATCTGGGACTCAAAACTGCAGTCTAGTCTATTTGGGAGTCCGGTGACATCATCATTGTGCCATCTTCTGGTCTCTACAACATGAAGATTCTTTATAAGTAGTTTTATTTTTCCTTTCTTGGTAGTGCTATTTTTTTTTTTCGCTTTTCTGATCTTAAGGCATTTGATAAGGAGAAATATTAAAGGAGTGTATTGGGTCTTTAGAAAAGTCATGACACGCTTTTGCATGGAATAACAGAAAAATACATTATGACTTTTGTGATGATCCAAGAGAATGCCCTATTACTTTTCACTTTTTCTCCAACCTTTTAATTTTGCTTATTGAACATCTAAAACCAAGAAAACATTTTGATTAAATCACAGAAATAGTGGGCACAGTATGAGATATTCATAAGCAAAAAGTTTTACCAAAGTATAAGTACTTAGAACATTTTTTCTTCTGAAGATTTATTATTATTATTATTGTTATTATTTTTAATGCTTGACCAGAGAGAGAGAAAGAGAAGGAAAGTGAGAAAGTAAGCCACTAGGTCCAGTACTTGAACTGTGGTCTATCAAGTGGGAGTCCAGCACCATAACCACCATGCCATCCACTGGCCCAAGTACTTATAAAATTAAGTTCATTCTTAAAGATAAGACAATCAAATTCACCATTTTTGAAGCAGGAGGCAGGGCAGAAAGGAGTATTTATTATCAGGTAGGCATGCTCACTATATGCTCCATCGTTTGTATGCAAGGCTGAGGTGCTTGGAATTGCAGTTGTCAAGCAAATGCCTTACAAACTTTTACGCTATTTCTTTTGTCCAACAAGATATCATTACACAGCAGCAATCAGAAGAGCACAGGAAACAGCTAAGCACTCTGTACTTCACCAACAGCTTCACCAGCTAACCAGCATCTGCCAGTCCCTACAAGTGCACTTTTTCAGTATCTACTCTAGATTTTTCCAAAGAAATTTTCAAACATAAAAATAAATTTGAAAAGTAATGCAGTAATAGTCACCCATGTACCACTACCACGTAGATTAAAAAGATGCCCACATTTACATATAAATGTGTGTGTGTGTGTGTGTGTGTGTGTGTGTGTTAGGTTTCTGGGAAAGTCATGTGTTTTTCTATGCAAAAATGCGTCATGGCTTTCCTGACAACCCAACATATGTCTGTTTTGCTGAAATATTTGAATGTGTTACGTGCATTATGACATTTCACCCACTATGAAATCACCATATGCTTTCTTTTCTTTTTTTTTTTTTTAAAGGTTTTTGCCTTAGGGCTTGTACGATCCCCAGAGACAGAGACCAGGAACAGGGCAAGTGAGAAATGGAGATGGCTATGCTTCAATCCCTTCTCCTCCATTCTCCTCCTGAGACCTTGGGCATGCACAAATACATGCCTGGCATGAGTTTCAAGCCCCTGGGTTTGGGAGTCCAACGACATAACCACTATGCTATCTGCTGGCCCCCACCATGTGCTTTCTAAGAATAAGGACCTTATCCCACATAACCAAATATACTATGACTCAGGGGAAAAAAAAAAAAAAAAAGAAACTCTTTGTATCAAATCTATACTTTAAAACTTTCCAATTTCCCAAAATATGTGTCCTATAACTGCTTTAATCCAAAGTTTAGTTAAGATTCACTTCTTCAATTTTGTTATGTCTCATTAGAACTTTATTTTTTTTTTAATTGCCAGCGGATGTCTGTGCATAGAGAGATGGAGAGACGGAGATAAAGAGAAAGCACCCTCCAATTGGGTGTGGTCATGCTGCAATTCCTTTTCCATTTCTCTATCATGTTGGGATTCTCGACATGTATGGATATGTGCCTATGTTTTTCATGCTGCTTGGACCAGGACTTGAACTGCAATTGGCCATGTGGGATCCTTCTCTTGTAACCAGTAGGCTAGGAGGCCAGCCTTAGTTTCTTTTAATATAACGTATGACTTGTACCTTTTTAATTTCTTTCTGTATTATCCAGGCCAGTTATCTTATCAAAATTCTTATTTTTGGAACCAGTTAGTGTAATGGCTATGTCGCTGGACTCCCCTGTAGTCGACCGCGGTTCGAGGCCTGAATCCAGCAGCTTAAACTCACGCCGGGCATGTGTGCATGCGTGCCCAAGATCCCAAGAGGAGAATGGAGGAGAAGGGATTGCAGCTTGACCAACCCCCTGGGGGGTGATTTTTCGCTTTCTGTCTCTATGTCTCTCTCTGTCTCTCTGGCAAGTGCACGTGCCCTATAACAAAAACCTCTCAAAAAAATTCTTATTTTTTATTATGATAATCTTATCTATTTTTCTCTATTTCTTGGCTTTCCTTTGACAGAAGGTTAGGTCTAGAGAAGCTTAAAACCACTCAGGCTAAGGAGTTTTTCTTTTTCAACTTAATAAGTATTGCTGCCTACACTTTATCCTAGTAAGAGACACAGTGTTGGTTGTCATCCTATTTTTGATATTATGTTTGATTACATAGTTAAGGTAGCAACCATGTCTAAATAGTGGAGATTGTTTTTCTTTTGTAGATTCACAATTATCCTTTAGTTTTATTTTACCTTATTCCTCAAACAACTTTTTAATTAATATTTTCAATACATGGAAGAGTGCAGAATGGTGGCTTTCTAATTTCAGCATGTTAACTGCTATTCTTCTATTTAAAAAAGTGTTAGATCATCATCTAAGAATGTGCAGTTCTTCTGTTTGGTAGCCTCCCCTTATCCATGTATGTTCTGGGGCATGGATGTCCCCAGTGGATGTCTGAAAGCACAGATAATACGGAACTCTAGCTCTGTATTTTTTTCAATGTGATCGTTGAAATGACTCCTATGTTACTAATGCGTGAGTAGCATATACAGCGTGGATATTCTGGAAAAAGGAATGATTGGGACATGGGAGCTTTCATGATGATCATTAAAATAGCAAAAGCAATTTTAAACATATGAAATAAAGCCAACCAATGGCATGACTGGCGGGATCCAGGAGACTGGATCCCACATGGTTGGCCCCAGGGTTTAAGTCCCAGACTCTGCAGCTTGGAAAAACATACCCTTGGAACCAGCAGATGGTGTAATGGTTATGTCACTTGACTCCCATGTAGTTGACTGCAGTTCGAGTCCTGGACTTGGCTGCTTAAAGCTCATGCCAGGCACGTGTATGTAAGTGTCCAAAATCCTGAGTGGAGAATGGAGGAAAAGGGATTGTGGTGCAGCCACTCCCCTTGGGGCTTTCTGTCTCTCCAGTAAGTGCACGTGCCTTGCAGCAAAAATCTCTCTCTAGAAAAAAAAGAAAGAAAGAAAAAAACATTTCCAGCAAGTATGCATGTATGCCAAAAATCCTGAAAGGATTAATGGAGAGGGGGTGGATTATAGAGTGACCATCCCCCATGGGGGTTGCTTTCTTACTTTTCTCCTCTACCTTTGTCCATCTCTTTCCGGTGAGTGCATGTGCCCTCTAGCAGATTAAAAAAAAAAAAAAAGAGGAAAGAAAAAAATTAGATGTTTATTTTATTTTACTTTCTTTTTTTTTTGGAGAGGTTTTTGCTATAGGGCATGTGCACTCGCCAGACAGAGTGACAAAAAGCAAGAAATAAACCCCCCCACCCCCCCAGAGGATATGGCCATGCCGCAATCCCTTCTCCTCCATTTCTCTCTCGGGATCTTGGGCATGCAC